CCCATAAACTTAAGTAGCAACGACTTCATGAGCTTCTTCTATAATAAAATTATTACTATTAGAGAGAAAATTAATCACCAACTGCCATCAACAGTTATCAGTGGCTCTCCAAGTTCAGGAACTTTAACTAATGTAAAGTCAAATATATATTTTGGATGTTTTTCTGATATCAATCTTCATCAGTTAACTTCAATAATTTCTTCAACGAAGCCATCAACCTGTCTTTTAGACCCCATCCCAACTAGGCTGCTTAAAGAAATCGTACCCTTAATTGGCACTTCTTTACTAGATATGATCAATCTTTCTTTATTATCAGGCTGTAATTAAACCCCTTCTTAAAAAGGACTTGTCTCTGTACTTGTATTATTAGATCTTAGTGCTGCATTTGACACCATTGACCATAATATTCTTTTACATAGACTTGAGCATCAAATTGGCATTAAAGGAACCGCACTAAGCTGGTTTAAGTCATATTTATCAGATTGCTCGCAGTTTGTACATGTTAACGATGAATCTTTCATAAATACTACAGTTAGTCATGGAGTTCCACAAGGTTCTGTACTTGGACCAATACTATTTACTTTATATATGCTCCCTTAAGGCAACATTATTAGGAATCACTCCATTAACTTTCACTGTTATGCAGATGATACGCAGGTATATCCATCAATCAAGCCCAATGAAATTAATCAATTATCTAAATTACAAACATGTCTTAAGGACATAAAATCCTGGATGAGCCCCAAACACCTCCGAGACTCACTGTCTAAAGATATAGTCACTCTAGATGGCATTAACTTGGCCTCTAGCACCACTGTCAGGAATCTTGGAGTTATCTTTGATCAGGATTTGTCATTTAACTCCCACATAAAGCAGACCTCCAGGACTGCCTTCTTTCATTTACGTAATATTACAAAAATTAGACACATCCTATCACAGACAGATGCAGAAAAACTAATCCATGCATTTGTTACTTCAAGGCTGGATTACTGCAACTCTTTATTATCTGGTTGCCCCAATAAGTCCATTAAAACGCTCCAATTAATTCAGAACGCTGCAGCACGAGTACTGACAGGAACTAGAAAAAGAGATCACATCTCTCCTGTACTAGCTTCTCTGCACTGGCTCCCTGTAAAATGTAGAATAGAATTTAAAATCCTCCTCCTCACCTCAACAATTATTATTATTATTATTATTATTATTATTATTATTATTATTATTATTATTATTACTACAGTTACTATTATTACTATAATCACTGCTCATTGTCCCCCATCATTGTTGTCGTCATCATCTTCTTCATGTTCATCATCAGTCACTACTATTAGTGTAGCTAGCTACTGTTGTTGCTGTGCACCTGTCTGTCTGTCTCTCTCTCTCTCTCTGTCTTTGTCTCTTGCTCTGTCTCTCTGTCTGTCTCCCTCTCTTCTCCCGAAGGGTCTGTCTGAGGTTTCTGACTCTCCAAGTTTTTCCTTGCCGCTGTCTCCAAGGTCTTACTCATGTACGTGGTACTGTTGGGTCTCGGTGAATAATGCTATGAATTGGCGCTATACAAATAAAATTGAATTGAATTGAATTGAACTGACTGCTATAGATACAGGGCAGTGGTCAGTGCTATAGATATAAGGCTGAGATCTGTACTATTTAATTCATATTACTAATGAAAGCTCACCATATCTCTTGAACAGTGTTCAGATTTTAGGTGATATCTTCAGATGTGAATCACTTCTTACTGGGACTCTTTCAGAAACTGTATGTTCTTCAGGAAATGTGAATATTCTAGTTAGTAATATTATTTGTTCCTATTTTGTAAATATTTCTGTATGATTGAACGCTTTGTGATATTGTATCAGTTCAGTATTGATTTTATGATGTTCATACTATGACAGCAGATTTTAATTTTTAAATTGCAATATATTGATGTGTTATATTTACATAAAATAAATACAAATAAATGTAATTCTTATTTGTGTGTGCAGTACATATATATATTAATTTGTGGTTATTTGCAGTAGTAGTGACAGTATTTACAGTGTGTGACAGTTTGTGGACTTCAGTCTGTTTATCAAACTCACTTCATGTTTGCAGGTCTTAACTTCAAGTTATCAAAGAGCTTCGATGGAAGAAAGAAACTCAGGAACTGAAGAATAAAAATGTCTTTAAATAAACATTCAGAGATTCTTCTGTATTTTGTGTTCATTTTTAGGGCTCAGCTGGAAGAAAGGGAGAAAACTTAAACTCCCTTTCAGACATTAATGATACAGAAACATCAATCTGGGTGGGGAAGGGAGCAGCCCCTCCCTCCTTACCACCACTGAGGTGCCCTTGAGCAAGGCCCTGAAGCCCAACTGCTTCCTTTCAGTGAGCCTCCCTCAATCAATCAATATATATTCATACTGCGAGTCAGCAGCATCGTTTCTGATCAGTTTTATTTATTGGAAAGAAAACAAACAAACAAACATAAATAAGCAGAAAGACACAAACAGAACTTTTATCCCGACTCCTCTGATGGACCAGAGTCCTGAAACAAGTTCTGGATCCAGAGTGTATCATGGTGGTTCCCAACCTGACTGTAGTTCATATTGTATTGATCAATAACAGTAACTGATCAACAGTGAACACAATAACTGCAGGAAGTTTGTGGAAAACCAGAGATTAATATCAATAATAATAATAATTATAATAATAAACGTATTACAATATGTAGTTTTCTTCAGGAAATAGATGAAATGCTGTGTTTGTGTTTGTTATTATTTATATTATGGTTGAAATCGAGACGTTTTGTCGAACAATGAACAGAAACACAATCAGAAACAATACAATCCGTCTCCATGGCAACTAAATAATAATTAGCGTCTCTGCAGGGAAACAAACTGGAATCGTTCACGTCGGTTATCAATAGAAATACGATGAGTCATTATTTTAACTCCAGCTTTACTTCCTGTTGAAGCCGAACGCCGCGGCGGCTTCTTTCTGTACATTTTATACATCTTTACATTTTCCCAGCAGCCCCGGCGGTTGGGCGTCCTACGCGGTGCCGCCGTCGTCGCTGCCGCCTCCTCTGCCCGGCCCTCCTCGGGTCCTCAGGTCGTGCCAAAGTTTGACGAAAGGTTCTCGGTTCTTCCAAATCAACTCGTGGCCAAACAGGATGTACCAGCTGCAGGACACAGAGAGCATGATGGGAAACCAGGAACAATTGATCCAAATATTATTGATAAACGACCACAAAGCTGCAAACAGCGTTTCTATCTCTGGCCAATCAATCAATAATCAATAATCAATCTGTTTCTGGAGAACTGAAACCGATAAAAACCGACGTCAGGAAGGCATCGGAGCGCCTGCTGTGATTGGTCGAAACACCAACTTACACTCCGAATAAAGCTCCTCCTAAATGAGCTGCGTGGTCAAAGAACTTCCATCCCAACACCACGCCGGCTGTATCCATGGCAACGATGGCCTTCAGCGCCTGGAGACAGACAGACAGAGAGACAGACAGTCAGACAGAGAGAGAGAGACAGACAGACAGACAGTCAGACAGAGAGAGACAGACAGAGAGACAGAGAGACAGAGAGACAGTCAGAGACAGACAGAGAGAGAGAGAGACAGACAGACAGACAGTCAGAGAGAGACAGACAGACAGAGAGACAGACAGTCAGACAGAGAGAGAGACAGACAGACAGACAGTCAGACAGAGAGAGACAGACAGACAGACAGAGAGAGAGAGACAGTCAGACAGACAGACAGAGAGAGAGACAGTCAGAGACAGACAGAGAGAGAGACAGACAGTCAGACAGAGAGAGAGACAGACAGACAGTCAGACAGAGAGAGACAGACAGTCAGACAGAGAGAGAGAGAGACAGTCAGAGACAGACAGAGAGAGAGACAGTCAGAGACAGACAGAGAGAGAGAGAGACAGACAGACAGTCAGACAGTCAGACAGAGAGAGACAGACAGACAGAGAGACAGACAGTCAGACAGAGAGAGAGAGAGAGACAGACAGACAGACAGACAGAGACAGACAGACAGACAGAGAGAGAGAGACAGTCACACAAAGAGAGACACACACAACAGAGAGAGACAGACAGTCAGACAGAGGAGAGAGACACAGACACACAGTCAGAGACAGACAGAGAGAGAGACAGACAGACAGAGAGAGACAGTCAGAGACAGACAGAGAGAGACAGGATGAGCTCATGATGTCAGACAGGTGAACCAGGTGCAGTGTGACTCACGTTGGCAGCAGTGAAGGTGAACATTGGGAGGAAGATGATGGCCAGTTTGGCTTCTGGCATTTTGGTGCAGACGGCAGCTAGAACGGTCATTATAGCTCCAGACTGGAACCAGAGAGAATAAACTCATTATTGATGATATTGATCAGAATACACTGTATCGTTATGGATGATATTGATCAGTATACACTGTATCTTTATAGATGATATTGATCAGTATACACTGTATCTGTATGGATGATATTGATCAGTATACACTGTATCTTTATGGATGATATTGATCAGTATACAGTGTATCTGTATGGATGATATTGATCCTGTATTGACAGTCAGACTGTGGACATATGACGGCCTTTAGCTCGTGTTTCTAGAGTTACGTGTTGTTACGAACACGTTAGGAATTGTTAAAATGTGATATTTCTTAAAGGGAGTTTGGTGCAGGGAGCTTTTAGTTGGATTCAAACTGCTGATATGGATCATTGTTAACGTTTAGTCTCCACTACAGAAACACTAGCTGACTGCTAAAGGCTGATCAGGTTGATTGATGCTTTAATAATGAGAGTATTGATTACTGATGCTGGTGTTGTTACTTACGGCTCCCAGAGACGGACCGAACCTCCCTGTGGCCATCTTACAAATATAACTGACAAACGTAGATACGACACCTGAACACACAGAACAAACAAATCAGAGTAAACAACAACAACAACAACAACAACAGTGTGTGCAACCAATCACAAGCTGAACCTGCAGTGTGTCGTGCTGGCGTACCTGCAGACAGGTAGACGGCCATGAACTGCTCTCTGCCCAGCATAGAGACGGCGCTGGTGGAGAAGCTCCAGAGGACGTACATGTTGGCAGCCAAGTGGAAGAAAGAGAAGTGGCTGAATGTGGAGAGGAGCATCGGAGAGCAGAGAGTCTCTGCAGGAGGACAGAGTGTCAATCAGTGTATTGATCAGTGTATTGATCAGTGAACAGGATGATGCAACAGGACGCTGACTGCAGTTCACTGAACGGCCACTGGGGGCGCTGTTAGCTACAGAAGCTATGAAGCAGCAGGTGGACTCACTGGAGGCGGGGTTGGAGGTGAAGTATTTGATCATGGAGCGCTGCAGAGACGGGACTCTCCAACAGCAGAACACCAGGGCGTTAGCAGCAATGATTCCTGGGAAAAAACAAAGACACGGCGAGGTCAGAGGTCACTGTAAAGAGGAGGCGGCCGGAGATCGAACCTGTGTGTTCTCACCTGTGACCGTCCTCTGACCCTCGCTCAGGCTGTGCCACCATTGGTTGATCTGAAACACAGAGAGCCAATCAGAGCTCAGACTGAGATCATGAGACCATCACTGTGGCTGCGTTCGAAGGATTCTTCACCTCTTTGCGGACGTCTCCTCGTTTCGGCGGCCGCAGCTTCTCCAGCCAATCCGCTCGGATCTCGTCGAAGTAGCTCTGGACTCGGGACTTCAGGGACTCGTACTGCCAGATGGCCGCCGAGCCGAAGGAGCAGCCTGTAAACTGACATGGAGTTAGCACCTGACGCTAGCACCGCTGAAGGGCTCTGACAGGTGAACGCCACCTACCCCCACGGTGAACACCAGCGGTCTGAGGAGCCGGCTGAAGGCCCGCGGGGACCCGGGTGGACGGTGGTGGACGCTGTGGGGGGCGGGGCTCCGACGGGGGACCGCGACCTCAGAGGACTCGGCGTGTTGATGGGGAATCAGCTCTTCTTCCACCTTCTTGGATTCTGGTTTCTTGGAGGCTTTCCTGAAACCGCATCGCTGCTGGAAGCTGTGAGGCCACCTGGTGGACGGACGGAGAACAACAAGGCACCTGAGAACACCTGAGGAGGGTTTATCTCCACTTCCTGTTACTGTCTGCTGTTTACAGAGTTCATTATTAGAAGGTAGGTCAGCTCAGTTTATGAGAATTATTAAGGTTCAAATCCCCTCTGCTCCACACTGTCACACCAAACTCCATTCAAAAAACGGCTGTTTTAAGGAAGTAAAACCTTTATTTCCACCATCAGAGAGACTCTGATTCTCTTCAGTCTACAGACACAATCTGCTCACATTGACTCAGTAACATCATTAACTAACCTGTGAGGAAGAGTTGGACACAGACACACTCACTGACTGTCTGTCATTAACTAACCTGTGAGGAAGAGTTGGACACAGACACACTCACTGACTGTCTGTCATTAACTAACCTGTGAGGAAGAGTTGGACACAGACACACTCACTGACTGTCTGTCATTAACTAACCTGTGAGGAAGAGTTGGACACACACACACTCACTGACTGTCTGTCATTAACTAACCTGTGAGGAAGAGTTGGACACAGACACACTCACTGACTGTCTGTCATTAACTAACCTGTGAGGAAGAGTTGGACACTAACACATTAGTGATATATGAGTTATATAATCAGATAAATAAATTAAACATTAATGAATATAACTGGTGTAATGAGTGCTGATAATGTGGGTTACAGAAGTCCAAATAAAGGTCTATATTTTTAATTTTATACACATATTTTAGAAGAAGGTGGAAGAACTATAATAAGATAATTATAGCATTATATAAGTATAATTAATTAAAGTATATTGACGCATTAAAACTGAAGCAAGAAGCAAACAAACAGCAGCTAGCTCTGTTAGCTACCAAGCTAGCGTTAGCGGACTAGCACCCGTTTATAAATAACTGTCCTTGAGAGCTAACAGAGCTAACTGCTAACAGCGGGGGTCCGACTGTCTGTCAGCCGGGACAGGCTGCCTCTCTCCGGCTGCGGGGACTGACCTGCCTCCCCTCGCGGAGCTCCGGAAAACATCATCTCCGGTGAGTCTGAGCAGCAGAGAGCAGCTCCTCCACGCCATGGTGGAGCCCGGTGACCCCGGCAGAGCGACCCCGGGGACGGCCGTTCACTGCCGGGTCAACGGCGGGAGGAGTCACAGCGACCCCTGGAGGACAGAGACACACACTGCACACACTGCACACACCTGGATCAGCAACACACTGCACACACTGCACACACCTGGATCAACAACACACTGCACACACCTGGATCAGCAACACACTGCACACACTGCACACACCTGGATCAGCAACACACTGCACACACTGCACACACCTGGATCAGCAACACACTGCACACACCTGCACACACCTGGATCAATAACACACTGCACACACCTGGATCAACAACACACTGCCGCAGAGGGAGGGTGACGTCAACAGGACTCACTTCCGCCCGAGACTTTCAAAGTAAAATAATGTCAAACTAAATAAGCTGTTTTACGTTTTTAATTAATTTATTTATTTTACACATAAAATATTTTTTTAAATATAATTTTTAAAAATCGTACTGACTTTTAATTTATTATTATTTTTTTGTTTTTTAGAAAATCAATGTTTTCATGCCCATAGTTCTATTAAACATCTTACTGAGATTTAAGTCTACTGTGTCTATTTTCATTTAGTTTTCTTACAAACCTTAAAATCAATTAATTGAATAAAATACAATAAAATAAAATAAATAAATACAAATATTACTACAATAAGAATAAACAGAGCCCAGGTTGGAACCACTGAGTTAAACTGATCATTCATTGTGTCCATTAAAATACTTACGGATCATATTTATTGGATTAATTACAAACAACAACAACCGTGCAACTTCCTGTCAGCGCATTTATTTTGAAGGCGGCGACCACCGGAAGTAGAGTCGCAGTTTCCGGTGGTTGTTTGGTGTGGTCCGTCTCGGCTCGGCTCGGCTCGGCTCGGCTCGGAGCGGACCAGCAGCAGTCTCAGCCGTAGTGAACCTGTGTGTGTGACCGCGGAGGAAAGATGGCGGCCCCTGCTCTCTCCAGTCGGGCTGGCTCGGCGGGCAGCCTCGGGAACAGCCCCACGATGGCCGCCGGGAGGCTGCCGGGAGGCGGCGGCGGGCCCGAGCTCGACTTCAGGTCGGCGGCCCGGATGGAGGACGTGAACCGGCTCATCCAGGAGTTCAGCAAGCACGACCAGCGGGAGTACGACGACCAGCGGGCTCTGGAGATCCACACGGCCAAAGACTTCATCTTCTCCATGCTGGGTGAGGCACCGACACCGAGCACCGACACCGAGAGCACCGACACACAGCCGTTATACACCGGGAGCACCGACACACAGCCGTTATACACCGAGCACCGACACAGAGCACCGACACAGAGCACCGACACACAGCCGTTATACACCGGAGCACCGACACCGAGCCGTTATACACCGAGCACCGACACACAGCCGTTATACACCGGGAGCACCGACACCGAGCACCGACACCGACACACAGCCGTTATACACCGAGCACCGACACCGACACGAGCACCGACACACAGCCGTTATACACCGAGCACCGACACCGACACACAGCCGTTATACACCGAGCACCGACACCGACACACAGCCGTTATACACCGAGCACCGACACAGACACCGAGCACCGACACCGAGCCGTTATACACCGAGCACCGACACCGAGCCGTTATACACCGAGCACCGACACAGACACCGAGCACCGACACCGAGCCGTTATACACCGAGCACCGACACACAGCCGTTATACACCGGGAGCACCGACACAGAGCACCGACACAGAGCCGTTATACACCGGGAGCACCGACACACAGCCGTTATACACCGGGAGCACCGACACACAGCCGTTATACACCGGGAGCACCGACACCGAGAGCACCGACACAGAGCCGTTATACACCGAGCACCGACACACAGCCGTTATACACCGGGAGCACCGACACCGTGCTCCTCGGTAAACGGTGTTATTGTACCGGCACCGTCAGACTCCACCTGCTCCGTTTACCGGATTATAACGGATCCGGTAAACGGAGCTCAGGTGAGACGCTGCTGATGCGTTCAAGGTCTTCTGGTCAAATCCAACACGTTGTTATTGAAGACAACACAATCAATCACTTTATTACGATCAATAAAACAACAATCAGCTGATATCAGATCATATTGATCATATTGATCCTCGGATTGATCTGTTAAATGATATTCAGAGTTAGTAATTTCCTCTCACGTCAAAACAATAACACAGTGTGAAGCAGCGTTGCATCATGGGAGTTGTGGAGTTGCGGTTTATTGTTCCGAAGTATTTTAGTTTTATCTGGATGAAATCGTCTTTAAATTGATGTTAAATAATTATTTTTATATTCTTACACTTTGGTTTTAAAAGTACATGTAAAGATTATTATAATAATTATTATTAATGTAATTATTATTATTATTATTATTATTATTGTTATAATTATTATAATAATTATTATTGTAATTATTATTATTATTATAATTATAATAATAATAATAATAATTATTATTGTAATTATTATTATTATTGTAGTTATTATTATTATTATTATTATTATAAATATTATAATTATTATTATTGTAATTATTATTATTATAGCACAATATGTAGGAGTCAGGTTCCAACGATCACGTGACTTAAACGCTGTAATTTCCTCGGCCTGCACGAGGAAGTAAACACACCACCACACCTGATTTTAATGAGGATAAATTAAACCTGATCACAACCCTCATTCTGGTTTCAACTGAAGATAATTACTAACGAGGTCTGAGTTAACGAGGTCTGAGTTAACGAGGTCTGAGTTAACGAGGTCACTCCTCTGCTTCAGTCAAACTTTATTGGCAGCGGTGACGATGACAGAACGCAGCGAGAGGAGGAGGAATGTGAGATCTGATCAGTGAAAACACTTCCTGTCTGTTTCACCAAAGAGCTGGATCTCACACACACACACACACACACACACACACACACACTCACACTCACACTCACACTCACACACACACACACTCACACACACACACTCACAAACACACTCACTCATACTCACTCTCTCACACACACACACTCACACTCACACACACACTCACACACACACACTCACTCTCACTCACACACTGTAAAATAAACTCCATCTGACTGAACTAAATTTAGTCATTTAATGCAACATTTCTGACAGCGAGCACAAAACTTCCTCGTTTCAACGGCAGATCAGTCACGATGTGGACAGATGTGTGTACAGATGTGTGTACAGATGTGTGTACAGATGTGTGTACAGATGTGTGTACAGATGTGTTAGATCTCTACACGAACAGCTTCCAGCTCCTGATGCGTTCACAGCTCGTGTTCGTACGACCGATTCAAAGCAAATATTAGCTGGAAACTGACAGAAACTGAAGATAAATCCGACTCATGTTGTCGGTTTAATGATCTGATGCGTCATCGTACACGAGCAGTGATGGGAATAACGCAGTGATGGGAATAACGGCGTTACTGTTTTCAGTAACGAGTAATCTAATTGATTACTCTTCCCATCTTAATAACGCCGTTGCCGTTACTGCCAAACAATGCGGCGCGTTACTATAATTGAAGCTGTTTTTTTAATCAGACCAACGAGATCTCTGAGCCGAGAGACTGTTTTTACTGTTCTTCATTGGTTAGTGGGCAGTGCACGAGACAAGTGCATAAATGCTGACGATTGGCTGAGGCTGAGTAAAATTTCATGGTAAGCCAATCAGAGGTAGAGTGGGCGGGTGTTCGAAAGCACGCATAGTCGGACACACAACGAACAACACAAGTGAGTCAGTCTACGAGAGACAGGTATGGCGAGCTCCAATAATCCAAAAGCAGCCTTCTCTAAATGGAAGTATTGCTATTACTTTTCCCTCCAAGAAATTAAAGGAACGAATGTAATCGTGAAATGCTAATTACTTTTGAAAAGTAACTTGCCCAACGCTGTACACGAGGCAACACAGGACGACAGAAAACCAGCGGGTCAGCTGATGGAGGTGAAGTCGGCTCCAGATTGAATCCGGTGTTGCAGCGATTAACCGCGGTCGGCGTGCGGGACGTTCTCGTCATCTCCAACGAGCCTTGTTGCTTCCTCTGCTGCCTCCGTCAGGAGCCAATCAGGAGAGACACTCTCCTGTTTGATTAATTGACCAACTTCTTTAGGTAGCGAGAAATACTCCCGCCAAGTGTGAATCAGGTTCTCGCTGGTTATCTTATATCTATAGGTCACACACTACTTAATAAGCTATTAATATATATATTTATTTATTTGGAATATTTCCCACCAGACATTTTAGCCGTTGATATTTTAATCTGCTACATTTGATGTGCTGGTTAAAGTAAAACCTGGTTACGATGTTAATTTGTGTTTTCCGTACGTGTTTGCAGTAATGGATTATTGTGCCGGTGGAGGTTCGGTGAACACTGTCGGTTCGGGCTGTTTGTGACGAGCAGTGAAAGCAGCACACAAACCGTCCACTTCACTGCCGCACAGGAATGCAGCCATCACACAGGAAGTTTGTGTCTCTCCTCTTTTAGCTCAGTAGAGCGGAAAACCAGTTCAGTCCCGTCCAACTGGTGGGGATGAACACAATAACCCGTCTGGTCCGATGCGGTCCAGACTCCAAAAACTGACCCACATTCATTAAAGACAAGAGATCGGATGTGAAAGGGGCTCTGATGGCAATCGGTCCTGAAAGAGAGTGACATTGTTAACAAGCAGCAGTTCACGTTGTTCAAACTTTAATAGTTTTAAAGTTAAACTGTAGAATTTATCTGTGGAGCTTCATGAATCAGTTGAAGTAGTGAATACTTGCAGTTAGTAAACCTCAACGCAGTTTATACTCCAGTTATCAGACTAGATGGAGGCATTAAGCCACAATACCAGAAAGTTAGTATTCAATACCAGTAAAATTCCATGATTCTCGATACCCCGATAAAAAACCAAACAGTAAATCACACGTAGGACTCGGTACCGAACTTTGATACTTTTATGGCACCGATCGAACTGCGTCGATACGACTGAATATCAAGATTTTGAGGCTGCAATCTCTATTTGTTTCTATTTCTATTGTCTCTGATTCTGATGCTGGAGCGGGAGGAGACCTTGTTGGATGATCTGAACCAGACTGATGCCTGAACAAGATGTAGTCGATGATAAGACCACATTGCGGGCTCTGATGTGTCCGTGTTTGTAGTGTGAAGTTGTAGTTCTTTATCTAAATGTGTCTCTCCTCCTTTTGTCTCTCAGGAATGGTCCAGAAGTTGGACCAAAAGCTCCCGGTGGCCAACGAGTACCTCCTCCTGTCGGGAGGCGTTCGGGAAGGTGTGGTGGACATGGACTTGGACGAGCTGAGTGTCTACGCTCGTGGCACAGACTACGACATGGACTTCACCCTGCTGGTCCCGGCGCTCAAACTCCACGACCGCAACCAGCCAGTGACCCTGGACATGAGGCACTCGGCCCTGGGCCACTCCTGGCTCAGCCTTCGCCTCTTCGACGAGGGAACCATCAACAAGTGGAAGGACTGCTGCACCATCGTCGACCACATCAACGGAACCACCAACTACTTCTTCTCTCCGACGCTGGTGGCCGACTGGTTCTACCAGTCCATCTCCCTGGTGCTGCTGGAGGTGCAGAAGAAGCCGCAGCGAGGGATGCCGAGAGTGGAGAAGGTGGAGAGGAACGGGACCATCATCTCCGTCATCCTGGGCGTCGGGAGCAGCCGGATGCTCTACGACATCGTCCCTGTGGTGTCGTTTAAAGGCTGGCCGGCCGTCGCTCAGAGCTGGCTGATGGAGAACCACTTCTGGGACGGGAAGATCACCGAAGAGGAGGTGATCAGCGGCTTCTACCTCGTCCCCGCCTGCTCCTTCAAAGGCCGCAAGGAGAACGAGTGGCGCCTCTCATTCGCCCGCAGCGAGGTGCAGCTGAAGAAGTGCATCTCGTCCAGCCTGATGCAGGCGTACCAGGCCTGTAAAGCCATCATCATCAAGCTGTTGTCCCGCCCCAAAGCCATCAGCCCCTACCACCTCCGCAGCATCATGCTGTGGGCTTGTGACCGCCTTCCCGCCAACTACCTGGCCCAGGACGACTTCTCCGCCCACTTCCTGCTGGGCCTGATCGACGACCTGCAGCACTGCCTCGTCAACAAGATGTGTCCCAATTACTTCATTCCCCAGTGCAACATGCTGGAGCACCTGTCGGACGAGACCGCCATGCTGCACGCCCGCAAACTCTCCTCAGTGCGCTCCGACCCCGCCGAGCACCTCCGCACCACCATCGAGCATGCCAAGGCTGCCAACAGGCTGACGGTGGACCTGCAGTGGCGAGGCAGCGCTAACAACCTGCCGTCGCCGCAGTCCGACGCCGGCGGAGAGAACCAGCCAGATGACCGGCTGGCCAAGAAGCTTCAGCAGCTGGTCACAGAGAATCCTGGGAAATCCATCTCAGTCTTCATCAACCCGGACGACGTCACGCGACCGCACTTCCGCATCGACGACAAGTTCTTCTGAGACTGAGACATGTTCTGCCAGACCTCTTCCTCCCCCTCTTCCTCCTCTTTCTCTCTGCCTTCCTCCTCCTCGCCTGGTGCCCCGCCTCCTCTGAAACTTTATTTTTTACATTTTTTATGTTTCTCTGCCACAGAGTGAAGTGAGGTGATCGTCTAGTTGTGTCTGCCACAGTTTTTTATTTTTTTATTTTTATTTTTCTATTCCCGCTCCCCTCTTCCCCCCTCTTTCACTGTGTGCCCTGTGTTTTTTACCTGCTGAATGCCTTTTAAATAGACAGCTGAATAGCAGCAGGTTGTTTTTAAAACTGAAAGATGAGGACAAAAATCCACCTTAAGATGGAATTACTGTTCCAATGTTACGGTAGTTTAATTATCAGGGATCCTGGAAATGAGACGAAAGCAACAAACTCCTGAAAACGTCACCGAGGATTGTTCACACGCGAAGCCTTCAGTAATCAGGGAGCAGGAATATGATGAAGAATAAAACTCTTATTACATATTAAGCTAAGCTGCAGCTGATAGAAGACCTGCAACATTTAGGAAAAATTACACTAAATGTAGAAAAGTACGTAAGTTATAATCTTGTGACACTAAGTTTTTCATAATATAGTTATAATAATACTTTAATTACTTGTTCTTAGAATTATGACAAACCCAGTTCCCTCATAATGAAAGGTATTATCTAATAATTGTGATTATAAAGTCATAACTATGAGATAAAATCTGATAAACAAGCCCAGCATTAATAATGTCATCATAATTCAGTATCTCAGAATTTATTGGCACTAATTTCTCATAACAAAGTACATTACGAAAGTGTCATAAATGTATTTAATTATGAGATTATGTCTTTAAAATTATGAGAGTTTTCATAATAGTGACCAGTTGTCATAACGAAGGGTTAGTTTCTCATAATTAAGATTATTTTAATGAAATTGTCACAATTATGAGGCAATATCTCAGATTCTGTCTCATAAATTAAAAGATCTTCAGTAAATTATGAGATAATATCTTTAAATTATGAGAAAGTTAGTTCCACAAACGTATAAAAGAGTCTTAAACTCACTTTGCTCTTTTATTCGGCTCAGATATCCGCAGCAGCAGCTCAGCGTCGGAACAGCTACAGGATTGTTGAGTGTGACTGTATCAGATTGTAGACGCACTCAGGAGTTTAATATGTACGTACAGACGTCTCAGACCAGGACTAAAGATTACAGAGTTCAGCTTGAAGGTGGATTTTGTCCCTCTGAGGAATGTCTTATGGTCCGCTGGGGGCCGGTGGTACTAACGTCTTAGAAACTAACTGTAAATAGAAGAAAACTGACTGAACGAGAATAATAGACTTTCAACGATGATGACGGTGACGATGACGACGATGATGATGATGATGATGATGATGATGATGTGTAGACTACTTTTCGTCTAATTTTGCACAGAATGTAAAAAAACACCACTTTTCCTCTCGATGGTGGACGCCGTGTTCGTCCTGATTCAGAAATGATGTATCATATCAGTAGACAGGTGGCGCCACTGAGGAACGGTCGTACTGCACGTTTTAAATGTGTACATTAACCGCTGGAGTAGCACGGAGCACACAGTGATACTGCAGCAGCCTGGGCCACTTCATAATGGATTTATATATTCCTCTTTAAAGTCACTTTCAATATGATAAACCTTGAATAATAACTTGGTGCACAGACACGAGTACTTGCTGATACCAACTACCACATTTTCAGCAGTATCCGAAGAACTCTTGACTGATTTTACGCCTCCGTCAACGATACGTTGTCATTCATTAAGAGTTGAACCGCTAATGCTGCCCACCTGTGTACAGTGGTGCAGTCTGGGGAAGTCGATACATCCCTTCCGGAAGTTGTGATTTTTCGATCACAACGTTTAATTCAATTCAGTTGATTCCTGTGAATTCTGCACAACCTGTCTGAACAGAACATTTTCAGTGCTGTTTTCTTAGCGTTAAGCTAGCTGTGTTTACTTGTGGACAAAATAGAAAAAATAGAAGTGATGGTACTCAGTACTGATGAGTACAGGCCCAATTAAAGCACTAATCAACAATAAAACATTGAGCCACACGTCACCAAACTACTAGAGATTTTATTCTCTCTGGAATAAGTTCCCTTCGACTTTTAATGAAGTCTTTGCCCAACCAGCACAAAGGTCTTCAGCACTCGACTGCGTTTGTCAGTTTGGTTCTCACATTAAAATCCCTCTTGTGTTAGGCTCTTCTTCCTCATTTGTTATTAACAGATGTGTTAATAGGAAAGTGTTCCTCAGTAAGAAAGTAATACATAATACAGTTATTATTACCGTAGTGATTTAACGACAGAGATAAATTGGGGTGTCATCTGCATATAAGCAACGTTTTTACCTTAAATATAGGATTTGGCCCAGATGCAGCATAGAGGTTGAACAATAGCGTTTAGGTTCCTCTTCCTCATTTACTCGCTGTTGTTTTGAGTCTCAAATTGGGAAAATTCAGACTCATTAAAGTGAAGCTGTATGTGTGAGCGAGGTGTGACAGTATCACTGTGTACTCGCAGCCCACAGTTTAACACTCAGGTTAATCTGCTGCATTACGACCGTCCTCAGTAACAACACTCACAATATTCCTTTAGACGTGATATCACTGGCATATCTTTCCACTTATTCCTGTCACTTTCTGTTTTGTTTCCATAGTTTTGATCAGAAGTGATCGTTTCAATAAGCTTCACTGTATCTGTACGACCTCGTATGTGTTTACTGACCCGACTGATGTTCTGTTTCTGCTGCTTTATTTCTGTTTGTAGGGTTCAACTCTGCTTCAGTGCAACCAGCTCAGGATGTGTCCCAACTGAAGCTCTGATTAAATAATCGACTTGCTCAAACGGGTCAGGAGTTTATTAAAAGTCAGCAAACGACAGAGAATTGAGAAATCAAAACGATATCTTGATGTAGATTAACTAACTAGTTAGCCTGTGTTTTGCTAACATTAGCTTACTTAAGATGGGACTATATATATGTCTCTTAACTTTTTAACATCTTCAAAATGCGATTGTCTTTTCATCATGGACTAGCCTAGCATGTAGCATATCTAAGAGCAAAAAGGGGCGGGACTTATGAAGTGTTAATCAGACATTTCTACCCATCAGATCACTTTTAATGACACATTATCTTTACAGTACACTACAGCTCTCAGTGAAGGAAGAATAAAACACTAAAACTGAGTCTAAAGTTTGACTTTAAACAGATACTTGCGCTTATAGCTACCACGAGGCTTTGATTGCACCTGTGTCTAAGCATCATGGGAGTTGTAGTTGGTCCCGAGCTGGTTGTGTTGAAGGCGAGTCGGCCCCAGTTTATGTTCTCTTTGTGTTTTCAACCGTCCCAAACATTTCCAGAAATATGCCAAAAAACCTGCAGACATCTGACCGGCAATGTGATCTCCATATCCTCATCCTCAAGTGCAATTAGTGACAATACACACACACACACACACACACACACACACACACACACACACACACACACACTGTAGCATTAAGACTAAAAGACACTCCAACTCTGTTCAACCTGGTTTTAATGAAGACAAACACAGCACACCGAATCCCACTCACACACACACACTCAGAGGTTTTCACACCATCAAAGTGCCACACACTCTCCTGCTCGGTGGAAATGTAATCAATGTGTTGTTCTTCTGAGCTCCATGACCTTTGACCTTACTCCTTTCTTTATCTGTATGTTCAGAACCTTTCGACTGTGAGTTTTTATTTTCTCTGTATCTTGCTGCTCTGCTTGGTTCTGATGATGGATTTCTTTATGCAATGTTGACTTGGATGGTTTAACCCTTCAGATGGCAGCTCCCCACCCGTCTATGAAGGTTCTCCACTATAATTCACTGTACAGTAGAGTCATCATAAAGTCTTTTAACCAGAAACGGTCATGTTCAGTCTCACAGTCTGTTCTCACTGACTCTTGACATCAAATCCCTCAATTCGAGCTGTTAGTCGTAAATACCACTGAACCATTGAGCCTTTCCTGCTGGATTGCAGTCTGTAACTAAAGGAAATATAGTCATATACAGTTACTTATTTGATTTAATTATTAATTACAATAACTCTGTGGCACAGTTGTGATTTGCTGACAGTTGTAAATTAGGGTATCATCTGTGTATAAGCAACTTTTTTATCTTAAATGTAGGATTTGGCCAAGGCGGAGCTTCGAGGTTGAACAATGGGGGCACCAGAATCGAACCCTGAGGAACTAATTCCCCAACAAACTAAATTTTTAGGTTAAAAAAATGTCTTGATTAAGCCGCTTTTACTGCTAATTTTAAGTGGCAGAAACATTCCTGATAACTTTTTATAGTCTTTTGTTTTCACAGTACAAATCCAACTTACAAAATTAAGTCATTCTCACTTAAAAATAACTACAGCTACTTGATCAACAATGTTATGTTAGTATGTAATCAGTTTACAGTGTAACTTCCACTTGTAATCTACTCAGAAAACACTACAACAGTTTAATAGAATAATGATAATGATGATGGATATCTATTTATTTATGACAAGAATCTATTTCTAAAAACATTTAAATAAACTTCAAATTTAAATATGTCAAGTCACATTATAGGTTAAACATATCACGATAATATTTTAATTCTTAATTACCCAACTATTTAAACTTTTTACACAGTAAAAAATCTTATCTATATTTAATATAATGAGATGTTTTTAGGAAGGAGACTAGTTACTGCACTACTTATATATCTGTTTACACAGTGCAGGAACTGCAGTTTACGGGTCAGAGGTCAAATAATTGGTTTTAATTTTAAAGAATTGTGACTCAGATTCGCACTGAGTGACATTTTACAGTAACTTGAGACGTGACTACAGTTAGCTAGCTAATTTATATTACAGTAAAAGTAAAACAGCTGATCTACATGAGTTGTTAGTTAGCTAGTGTTCTGCTTCAAGCTAACTAATTTTTACATTATCGTTAATTTCCATCGACGGTTGGTTAGCTAGTGTTGAAGTTACATAAATTATGACTTAGCTACACTGCATTGTGACAACACAGTATGTTACAGAGCTCTTAATATGAAACAGATACAGGAAGTGTTGAGTTAAAATATATTTCTTCCACGTCTGCGACATGTTGTCTGTAGATTTTACAGTAAATAACTAATAAATTCTAAATAGGTTAAAGTTTGATATCTCACAGCAAAACCTTTATTCTGTATAAATTCCTTTAAAATGCTGTATAAATAAATGTGTTTATATTACAGACTGGAAACCACCGTCACAGTGTTTGTATGGTATTTTCATTTGGTTTCTTTTGATGGTAAAATAAGGATTAAAACTCATCAGTACTAATATCATTTTACCGTATTTATTACAGTTTGCTACTGTAAAAATAAAGATATATAGAAATAGACATTGCTGTAGTGAAAGGTGTCAGTGCTGCTGGTTTAATGTCGATATGATCAGTTTCATTGTCTCTCGCGGGACTCGACTCATTAGTGAAGCTAACTCTAACATGGACGCCACAATGAAACAGTCCTGCGACGCACTGCAGATGAAGGGAGTGTGTCTGCAGCTTCAGGCCTTCAGTGCTGCTCTAGTGTACCGGATTAAATATTAATGTTAGAATTACAGCTCATCAGTCAGATTCCTTCCTGTGTAACCGCCTGTTCTTTGTTCGTTCAGAGCGAGAGAGACGCCACCGTCAGCCTGGGTGGAGGAAACAGATGGTAATGTCTGCCTGAACCAGAACTGTTATATGGACACTAAAGGAGGTTATTGAGGAAGTACATATTGACTGTGATTCATTCTGAGGTTATTGATATTATTAACACATTGGAGCTGTAGAATCAGTAAAACTCAATGTGATTGGTTCACATCCCTTCAGTCCTGCTGGCATTGACCTGAGTCTTTACCGCTGTGGATATGTATTATATAAATAACCTCCGTATGAATCACAGTCAGCCTGCTGGGAGCTCAAATATGTCCCCTTTATTTATTTATTGGACTTCATCATTAGGAAAAACTCCTTGAGACGTACCATCTGGTCCTGGGGGGGGACACACACACACACACACAAACAAAAGGTTAGATAAGATATCTGTCCAACATATGCAGGTTAGCATCAGTCAGTGTAACAGCTGGAGACCCAGACTGAACAGTTCTGACATTAAACAGTTCTGGTTCACACGAGGAAATATTGGCTGTAAAATAGACTAAACAGTCAATTAAACAATTATTGAACCACTCAGAGGTCAAAGGTTAAAGATTGTATTGTTTGTGAAGTTTTCCCAAAACAGAGGCAGCGACCTCTGAGTGCCAGCAGGGGGCAGCAGTGATCAGCTCCTGTACCAACTTTATGTGACCACTGCTGTAAATAGCAGTCCAGATCTCTGTGGGTTCAGATCTCTGTGAGTTCAGATCTCTGTGGGTTCAGATCCCTGTGGGTTCAGATCTCTGTGGGTTCAGATCTCTGTGGGTTCAGATCCCTGTGGGTTCAGATCTCTGTGGGTTCAGATCTCTGTGGGTTCAGATCTCTGTGAGTTCAGATCTCTGTGAGTTCAGATCTCTGTGGGTTCAGATCCCTGTGGGTTCAGATCCCTGTGAGTTCAGATCCCTGTGGGTTCAGATCTCTGTGGGTTCAGATCTCTGTGGGTTCAGATCCCTGTGGGTTCAGATCTCTGTGGGTTCAGATCCCTGTGGGTTCAGATCCCTGTGGGTTCAGATCTCTGTGGGTTCAGATCCCTGTGGGTTCAGATCTCTGTGGGTTCAGATCTCTGTGGGTTCAGATCCCTGTGGGTCCAGATTCAGCTCCAGGTGAACTGGTCCCAGTGAGGCCTCCACTGGACGGGCAGACCCTGCTGAATCACAGGATAATTATGATAAAATGAGCTTCATTAAATATAAAAAAGACAGAATTCCCCTTTATGTTCTGAAGCTTTATAATGACATTAATAAATAAAATAAATAATTATTACATTACATTTACAGACTCATGATTTTTACATAACAAACATTATAAAAGTAGTAAACACACCACTGAATTATTTACAGAATAAACTGAATAAAATGCAGAAACGTTGTTGTTGTTGTTGTTGTTGTTGTTGTTGTTGTTCTCGGCCACCAGGGGGCAGAATGAACCCACAACCTGCTGTCATACAGCATTATTAGCTCATAGATGCTAACAGGTTAGCTAACAGCCTCCAGCAGACAGAACAACACCATCATCCAATCAGAGTCGAGCTTGTTTCCAATATTCAGTCTGATTCATTGATTGATAACACTAAATATTGATCAGCAGAGGAAGAAAAGAGTTCAATATTCAATATTCCCACAGTCCACGTTGTCTCAAACGCATCATTCCTCTCCTCTCCGTGTGTCCTCCTCTCTTCCTCTGTGGTCAGCTTCCTGGTGTCTCACCACCTGTCCTCCACCTGCTCTCCTCCCTCCGTCTCTCTCCGTTTCCTCGTCGTCATCAGAACGGTCGCCGTGCCAACAGGAAACCATCCATCATCCTGCAAATAGAAACACAACGTCTGCGGGTAAAGCAGCACCTCTTCCTCCTCCTCTTCATCCTCCTCCTATTCTTCCTCCTCCTCCTCCTCCTCTTCATCCTCCTCCTCCTCCTCCTCCTCCTCCTCTTCATCCTCCTCCTATTCTTCCTCCTCCTCCTCTTCATCCTCCTCCTATTCTTCTTCCTCCTCCTCCTCCTCCTCCTCTTCTTCTTCCTCCTCCTATTTTCCTCCCTCCTCCTCCTCCTCCTCCTCTTCATCCTCCTCCTCATCCTCCTCCTCTTTCTCCTCCTGCTCCTCCTCTTCATCTTCCCCCTCCTATTTTTCCTCCTCCTCCTATTCTTCAACACACAACTTTATTAACCGTTAAACATGAATGAGTGTGTGTTTGTACAGTGTTAATAAAGTTGTGTGTTTGTACAGTGTTAATAAAGTTGTGTGTTTGTACAGTGTTAATAAAGTTGTGTGTTTGTACAGTGTTAATAAAGTTGTGTGTTTGTACAGTGATAACAAAGTTGTGTTTGTACAGTGTTAATAAAGTTGTGTGTTTGTACAGTGTTAATAAAGTTGTGTGTTTGTACAGTGTTAATAAAGTTGTGTGTTTGTACAGTGTTAATAAAGTTGTGTGTTTGTACAGTGTTAATAAAGTTGTGTGTTTGTACAGTGTTAATAAAGTTGTGTGTTTGTACAGTGTTAATAAAGTTGTGTGTTTCTACAGTGTTAATAAAGTTGTGTGTTTGTACAGTGTTAATAAAGTTGTTTGTTTGTACAGTGTTAATAAAGTTGTGTGTTTGTACAGTGTTAATAAAGTTGTTTGTTTGTACAGTGTTAATAAAGTTGTGTGTTTGTACAGTGTTAATAAAGTTGTGTGTTTGTACAGTGTTATTAAAGTTGTGTTTGTACAGTGTTAATAAAGTTGTGTGTTTGTACAGTGTTAATAAAGTTGTGTGTTTGTACAGTGTTAATAAAGTTGTGTTTGTACAGTGTTAATAAAGTTGTGTGTTTGTACAGTGTTAATAAAGTTGTGTGTTTGTACAGTGTTAATAAAGTTGTGTTTGTACAGTGTTAATAAAGTTGTGTGTCTGTACAGTGTCAATAAAGTTGTGTGTTTGTACAGTGTTAATAAAGTTGTGTGTTTGTACAGTGTTAATAAAGTTGTGTTTGTACAGTGTTAATAAAGTTGTGTGTTTGTACAGTGATAATAAAGTTGTGTGTTTGTACAGTGTTAATAAAGTTGTGTGTTTGTACAGTGTTAATAAAGTTGTGTGTTTGTACAGTGTTAATAAAGTTGTGTGTTTGTACAGTGTTATTAAAGTTGTGTTTGTACAGTGTTAATAAAGTTGTGTTTGTACAGTGTTAATAAAGTTGTGTGTTTGTACAGTGTTAATAAAGTTGTGTGTCTG